TAACCGATGGTTAGCGACAGTGATTGATATGGCTGGGTGTCGTAAATAGTGGCGTTCGTGCATCTCCTCAATTTCTTTGCAACCTTAGACCACTGAACTTCTCCATTTTCTTTTCGACTCCACTTTCAACTTTCCTTTCTTCTCCTATTCTTCATCCAAATGGGTAGCCAAAAGACAGCAACCAAAACTGGCGCACGAATATGCGTGGTTAATGGTTGTTCAAACTGAAACTGAAACTTTACTCACTGCAGTATCGCATGTTATACGAAAACACTGAAGCCGTACGAGATATGCCAAATGGTTTGACGATACGGTCACGTCGTTTACACCTTCTCCAATCCAAATGTAGTGCAGCATGCGACCGTCACACCTTTTCAGTTCTTGACCAAGCTTTGTGACATCAACATTTGTAGAAAATGATTTCTTCCACCATTCGTTTACCTCACAATATTCCGATACGTTTTAATCTGATTCGCCTACAGTGGTATGACTACAGTTTTTGCGTCGAGGCTAAAGGACTACGGGTTGTGGCTAAAGCATTGTGGGTTTTGGCTAAAGGAATGTGAGTTAAGGCTAAAGGACTGCGGGTTGAGACTGAAGCTTGATGGGAAAAGGTGCAGTTGGAAGACTACGACTTTCACCAATGAAAATAATAGCATTAGACCTCTCGGTAAGGTCCTGGAATCTGTTAGCGACAAGAGTTGGGCACTAATTACACACCTGTCTCGTGCACTGTTTTGTATATTGTATGTACTCACCTCGGTTAAACCCGGAGGCAGTAGACTACCTTGGGTCCATGGTCGACGGAACTATACGCTATCGGGAGCGCTTTCAAATAAAGGATAGGAGAAAAGGAACTTGGGTGGTCAACTGTAAATGAATGGACACCAATTGACAGATTAAGTGATCGCGGAAGATTAGCATTGACGTGGATACTTTTAGTCTAATGATCAAAAAGTCAGGAATGCCCGTAGAAAGTATTGACACGTGTGAGAATCTGGTTTACCACCAAAATAAGATCATTAGTGTCGCCCTCTCGCTATACGGAGAACACTTGGCTGTGCAAGGACTAGCGATGCAACCCTGAAGACAAAGACTAGTTGGTTCTGAGGATTCCACCGTGTACTACATGTCACAGAATTCTTATGGATTCCTCTACATCGACTTATGATCACGCAGAGGAAATTCGAGGGGGGGGGGGACTTCGCACACAACTCAGTTACTTGAGAATAGTATTAACGGGTAAGCTATATTGATATGGACTGCTATAGGTCAGACTCCATCTTCACGCATAATTCTCAGTTCCTCCAGTCAACCATACGCTCGGGAAGTAAAGAACCGGAGTTCAGCTCTCGTTAAAGCTCATTAACAGTGCATATTTATCGTCTCGTCCCGGTATTGAACTCCAGATTCATCAGCCAGACCATATCAATATAACTTATCCCACATCACTACTCATAAGTAACTGTAGTTGGACGTCAATGCAATTCGAGTATGGTAAACACGTGACGGGCTTGTCTGAACCCGTATTAAAGTCCTGATTTGGTGAGCGGCTTTGAATGGAGTTAACGGATAATCACCTGGGTCTCCTTCCGTTGTTGAGTAACTGATTGATTATTATTGATGACAACAGCTGCACATAAATTGGCGATTCTAATCAACCGCGGTGTGTTGGTTGGCACGGTGGTTACATATTTATAGTAGAATGGATGAACTGAGGATAATGCATGAAAATGAAGTCGGAATGATGGTCAGTCTAAATCAAAATAAATAAATACATTGTCTATACTGGAACACTACTATAGGGAATATATGATCGGATTACCTTGAGGTTTTTGAATTCATTGCGAAGCCAGTCGAGCAAACTGTCCACAGTGTAGTTAGGCAGGCAACTGATTGCAGCAGGTAGCACCAGTGACAAAGGCGGACGTTCTAGTTTCCGCAAGCGACGAAACTCGGATTGCTGAGTTCAAGAAATAAAGAAGAAAGATTCGTCATTCATAGGATCAAGTTATGCAGTTACATTGTGTAGTAGTTAAAATCATTGACTTTTAGTTTCACGAATGGAATAGTAAAATGGAAATGTATTTTAACGCTACGATAAATAATGAAGCTAATGGACACAATCGGAATATTAAGCGTTTCTTTTTGGTTGGTTTGAGACAAGAAACCTGCAAAAATGGGTAGTTGAAGGAGTGGAACAGTCTTAACTCACCGGAAATTCAACACTTGGCAAAAATGTCCAAGCAAGTCCCCAACGCATTATACGACCCTGACAAAGCTCGTACACTGACACCCGCGGTATTTTCAATTTTTTCAAAATCCGTTTCATGGGAACCACGCTGCTTTTCTTACCAAGCATGACTGTAAATACACTGAAGACGTATACAAAGAGAGCAGAAATAAAACGAGTAAATTAACAGTTCTACTTTGGTGAGTTCTTGTAAGTTGAGTTGCAAGCAGTCGATTTTTAACAGAGGAAATGACACAACCACGGTTCCCATTGGTGCACATCGGCAAAACACTGAAGCATGAAGGAAACCATGCACTGATTTTTTTATGAATTACACCTTGTGGGGTCGCTGTGGCTGTATAAACCAGAAAACCCTATCTTTTTAAAACATAATAATAATGGTAACAAAGGTTCAACCACAGATCAATGAGTTGCAGTGAAGATCCTAGTGTTGACTTAAAGGGAGTAAATAGCCGTTTTTTGGTAAAAAGGTCTTATGACTGAAAGGAAGTGGTAAACCATTTCCACTGTTGATATACAGTTATGTTTGTACAGCATGTGTGAACATTTCAAAAACATTCGCTTAATTTGGTCTTGTTTATTGAAACACCATTTTTAAACTAAAATATAGTAATGAGGACTTCTTTCACAAATTGCATTCAGTTTCGTGAAGGTTTAAATTTTTCACCTACCTCTACTTTCTGACCAAAGATTGGCTGAGAATCCTGGTCTGGCTGGGTTTGGTGACTGCAAAGGCACTCGGTTTTACTACGGTCGGATTTATCTCGTCAATACTGTACGTCCTGTTTTGCCGGGCTCGTTACACGTTAGCGTTCTCACTGTCACTTGTTTCTCGCGTCATGCTACTTAATGTGTCTCGTGCCGCATATATTGTGATATATTTTGCGTTCTCATCGTAAATTTAGTTCCCTGGATTTTCTGTGCTGCTCGCGATTACTATGAATGATTCTGTGGTTCTGGGCAAACCATCTAGAACAATTTTCAATCGATATACTACTTTAGAGGTAGTATGTGCCATGAGCGCCTATCTGGGAACGTACAAAAATATGTATGAGCCATTAAAGACCGGTAGCTCATCGTTCGATCAAAAAGGTCACGTTAATACCAAATAAATGCATTAGGGAAGTTGATGTCCAATAAACAGTCAACAAGAGTGCAGCAAGCGTACTCCAGATCGACCGAATGAGTAAAAAGGTAGCTGCATAAGAGATAACTTTTCGTATTTTATCATACAACTCGTGAGATTTCTTATAGGCTCAATTCAATGCTGCCATTGTAGTTTACTGCATAAAATGTAACAAATTTGGTCAACACATTACTTCGTCGAGATAAGTGACAGTTTGGGGACAGTAACACATCGTCTGTATATTTTTTCTTGGACGGCTACCCCTCAAAAAGCGCTACTCTCACGTTCGTATACGAGGATGGGGTATGCTAAAATCAACAATAAGAGGAAACTTAAACGAACAACCTGCATCATTTTGAAGTAAACTGAAACATCGCTGTGAGCCCATACTTTTCTGAGGCGGTACTTTCACAGGCTAATCAGTAAATGTCGCATACACGCCCCTCGGAACAGCGCAATGAATTAGATCGAAAACCGATTTGAAATTACAAGAAAGAAATCGCGGGTTCGCGAAAGATCTATCGGCATTCATGCAATACTTGTACAGCTTGCTGTGAAATGATTGCACACTCCTCTGGTTCCAAATATAGGGCAGCGGAACACCTATCAGTTTGAAAATAACCGGCGTAAGCCGCTTGGGAAGAGTAGCTTTTACAACCTGGTTGGGTCTCATCAGCAGTGCGAATCCATCGACCCAACTGGGGATCAAACCCGGAACTTCATGGGCAGAACGCAAGCATGTTACCCACTACGCCACCGGGCAGCTGATCAGACCGTTGAGATGAGCAGGGCCTGTAGAGGATTTGATTAAATTTCAAATGGGAATTCATCGTGTATATAGCATATGAAGCGTGAACTGAAGAGCTAGGAAGCACTGGACAGCTGTTTCGACCTGGTTCATTTGCTATATACACAACAAATTCCCATTTGAAATTTAATCAAATCCTCCATTACTCACATGAAATAAGTAGTCAGGTTGTGAATGTTTCCAACCGAGTCATAACCCTGGAGGCTAGTGCTGAGACGAGCAGAGTCTATGGCCCGCAACAAGCTCGCAAAGATGGGTTGTGCAATATCGTGTAAATGGAAAATGAAAAACGGTCTGATTAGCTGCCCGGTGGCGTGGTGGATAACATGCTTGCGTTCTGCCCATGAAGTTCCGGGTTCGATCCCCAGTTGGGTCGATGGATTCGCACTGCTGATGAGACCCAATCAGGTCGAAACAGCTGCCCGGTGCTTCCTAGCTTTTTAGTTCACGCTTCATTTGTTATACAGACGACGAATTCCCACTTGAAATTTAGTCAAATTCCCCATTACTCGCATGAAAGAGTAGCATTCTTTATTTTTCACGAGCTCTAACAACATCACATTTCTAGTTCTATACAACCTTTTTCGCGACTTTTTTCCGGTATCTCATCCATTGACGGAGTGTCATTTGTTTGTGTTCACCTTACATTACATCAATAAACTACCATTAATGAACAAATTTCCTTTCTAATCCTGTGGAAATTCATTGTAAGTCATGACCTTTACAGTTACTGCTCCAGGCTGAAGTAAATCACAAGGGGGGGGAGGAAACAGATGACCTGGAGATGAGGTAAGAAGTAATACGCGAAAGATTACAGGTTGAAGTTCAAAGGGTGCTGTAACTGGTCGGTTGGAAACATTAAAGCACACAATAGCGAGCCGGGAGCGATGGCATTATTGCTGTCATTTTTCCTCAGGTTGCAGTAATTGAAAAAGTGCATATGCGCCAATAGACGGTGTTCCATGTGTCAACCAGAAGTTCACATTCTGCTTCCTTGCCTCAAAACAAACCCAACTTCCATTCTCCTCATGCACTCGTGCTTACTTTCTATCTACTGCGACACTGATAACGAAAGGGAAGTTCTTCCCAGTCCGTTTCTCTGTATGATCAGTGCAACTCCGGTGCATGATGATGCAGATCATGACAGTTGAGATATATCAATGTGTAAGTTCTCTTTTGTTTCAGCGGACTAATCAGGCGGCAAGGTACACAGACCATTGATTGACTTGGTACCACTGGCGAATTGATTACCAATGATTTAGACACTTATGTCTTTGTCACTCACCCAACGCGTGTGGCATACTTCACGCTGTCCCGCGCAAGCCGCATACAGTAATACACTTCACCACCATGTGTCTGACTCTCTTGGCGTGCAGCCGAAGAAACTGTCTTCGAAGCTGGTCTGGTGATCGATCGGCTAGTCGTCGTTCCAATCGCATCCGAAGTATCGCAAAAGAAGGGCGGGTTGGCCATAACAACGTCCAAATGGAATGGGATTTGGGTCTGTTTGGCATCAGCCAGGGAAAACGCCGCATCCAGGGATGAGTCCTCCTCTTTTATGTGAATCACTGTGTATACATGAACAGAAAACGTAGAGATTACTGGATTATTACGTGCATCTCCAAGTTCATATTGAAATGTCAAAAATAGTTAAACGATAGGATGACAGATGATTTCTCGAAATGAACACTGCAATGTCATGAGATGAGTACCGCAAAGAACAATTTAGAAAAAAATAACAGAGAAGGCTTCTCAAGAAGCAAACCCTACGCTAAGAGTTTTAACGAGACCCGTACTTTAGAAAATGTAGAGCAGCAGTCGCTCACTTACGACTCAGTCTTGCACCTACCCTGTGGTCCCATAACTAGCCAGGCAAATTCTATTTCACCACAGTGTCCTGCAGTTCCCGAAACACAAGCAGAGATCAAAAACATAACGGCATCAGTTTCCCCTAAATACTTTTTCTGCGGAATTAACGGACATTCTCATTCGAAATACCCAACCCGAGAAGCCACAGGTAATTCTTATGGAAAGAAAAGACGTTTCCTAAAGATTTCTCGATCCAATTCCAACACTCATTCCAGACGTACGTTATCTGTGTTAAATCCAACTGTTTCGTTCCTTATTGTAGTATCAAAATTCGTCTATCTCTCCAATTCGGTTGAATAAATCTGAGTGCGCTAATCGATACAGACAATTGGGAGAGTTATCTGTGCACCAACATTGCTCCTAAACATCGATGGCGTGTAAAGTCATCTAAACATACCGTATCAATGACTTTCACTATCTACTCTGTTACCCAAGGCCACGTGTATGCCTCTGTTCAATAAAAAAATTACAATAGGGTGAAACTCTTCCTCATGAAAGATCTGTGCGTCGGTGTCATTCTCGGTCGATATTTCTTCAGTCAACATCATAATGTAAACATTCCACTTAATGGCGATCGTTCAACTTTCTGTGTATGTACCATCAGTGAAGCAAATGTGCATTCCCTATTTCTTTAAAAATCTAACCCCAAATTGTGCACTTATCGTTACGGAATCGCGGCGTCACTCAGTTTCCGATCGCAATTTTACCGAAGCCGAAGTCAAATAATTGTTGTTAAACAAGATTATAGAATCTTCCACGTCTCCTTCGTAGATACAAGTTCTTGTAACAATCAACGAAAGATATGAGAAACGGATGATAATTGACTACAGCCAAAGGGTAAACCAGTTCGCTTACGTTGATGTTTAGCCTCTGCCAAGAGTGGATGAACTAGCGGAAAAGGTGACCCAATATTGTGTTTGGTACACTTGATCTGCAAAGAGCTTATCACCAAAGTCCCGTCGAAGAATAAGAAAAGCCATATATGGCATTCGAGGCTTGAGGTAAATTGTATCAGTTTTAGCGTATTCCGCTCGGGGTTACTAACGAACTGGCCTGCTTCCAAAGTACAACAGATAACACCATCCATAAAGAATATCTACAGGATACATTTGCGTAGGTGGACAACGTCAGAGTGGGCGGCCATGACCCGAAAGAACATCAACGAAGTCTCCGTAACCTCATGGATGCCGCCGAAAAACTCGGTATAGCAATCAATGAACACAAGAACGTAATCAAAGCTAGTAAAATACTTCTTCTCAGGTACGAAGCTTCCAAAAGCTTAATCAAGCCAGACGCCGAACAATTCTCGGCCTTGAAGAAGCTACCTCCCTCGAAGGATACCGTTTCGCAAAAAAGAGTGGTAGGGATGTTGGCGCCTCCGAAATCCTCAGTATGAACGGGGTTGGTGTCTTGGGTTGTGGCTGGCCACGCTATCCTTGCATCTCGCGAAATGCTCCCTACGATCAAGCGTCTTAAATAGCCTCTGCTGAGGAAGCCCTACCCACTGTCTCCTCGTGACGGTGTTTTCCCGCCAAAGTGAGAGGACGAAAAGCCGACATCCGGGGCTATAATCGGGTTGGTGGACCACTGG